ATTGTACAGAGCTGGCTTCAAGTTTATAATCCTCTTGCCTCAGCCTCCTGAGTACCTGGGATTACAGATGTGTGTTGATGCATTTGGCTTTTTCCCTTTATGTAATAGTTCTTATAATTTATATTAATATATACTATAGATGTCAAAAAGATTTTAGCTTTTTTTTTTTTCTTTTTTTTGTCTTTTTGAGATAGGGTTTCACTATGCAGTTCAGGCTGACCTTGAACTTACTTTGTAGCACAGGCTAGCCTCAAACTTGGAGCAATCCTCCTGCCTCATCCTCCCGAGTGCTGGGATTACAGGCATGTGCCATCATGCCCAGCCAAGATTGTAGGTTTATCAGCAAACCTGATTTCAAATTCCCATTAAAATTCCTTCCTAGTTATATAAACGTGCAAGTCAGTTTTAGGATAAGATTCCCTTTCCTCATTCAGTAGCACAGTGGAACCTGGAGCTTTAATTCTAAAAAGGCTACTCTTACATAGGAATATTGCTGCTTTTACCCTTCTTCTTGGTTAAAGAGGCCAGTATAGATTTATTTGCTTTTCTGTGAAGCTCATTAGTTGCCATATATATTTGAAAATTCTTCTAGTGGTTTTTCATGTAGAAGTCCTTATTTCTGTATATTCATTCAAGAATATATGGATATCTAGTGTATATTTGTACTAGGTATTAGGGGTAGAAAAATAAATAATACTGTCCTCAGACCTTTTGGAGCTTTTTTCAGTTTATATATTTTTATTAGTATATGTTTATAGTACATAATGATTCCACTCCTTGTGGGGAGTTGGTACAGGTATGTAACACATCTTAATTCTTTTTATGTCTCCTCCCCACTCCATCATCCCTTAGTCCATTCCCCCATCTGGAAAAGATCTGTCTCCCTCTTTCGTATTATATGTTTATTTTGTTTTTATTTTGAGTTTCTGGTACTTAGGCTTAATAGCTTCTTAGTGAAACTAAAAACCACTTAGAAGCTACTTTTTTCCCTACAGGTACTGGGGATTGAACCCAAGTCCTCATGCATGCAAGGCAAGTACCCTACCACTCAGCTACATCCCTAACTCTTGAGACAGGGTCTCACTGTGTAGTTCAGGCTGGCCTTGAACCCACACCTCCTTCCTCAGCCTTCCAAGTGCTGGGATTTACAGGCCTGTGCCACCATGCTCAGCTGTTATCCCCAACTCTTTTCAGTTACTTTTTTAAATTTTGAGGCAGGATTGCCATAGATTGCCCAGGTTAGCCTTGAATTTGTGATCCTCCTAGTTCAGGCTCCTGAGTAGCTGGGGTTACAAATATGTGCTGCTACTTTTAAATTAAACTATTTTGAATTTTCTTTATTTCTTGTAGTACAAGTTTGACTAATTAGTATATTACAGAATTTCTTGTTTCTGATTATTTTTGAGGGGCAGTGGTTCTGAGGCTTGAACCTGAAGCTTTATACATGTTAAGCACATACTATACCACTAAACTGTGTGCTTAGCCTCAGATTTTCCTTGTAAGTTGAGGTTTCTGTAATTAAAATTGTTTTCTGTATGAGCAAAGACATTTTCGGATTTTTTCCTTCCTTTTGACTAAAATATTCTTTAGATCTCATAATGAACAGGATTCAAGAGGCTTATTTTCAAATTAACTTTACTCAAAACTGCTATAAGTGAACATTTAGATGACATATTATGATGAAGTTATTGATTATTCAGTATCACTTTTTCTGTTTTGTGAGATGGTCTCACTATGTAGGCCATGTAGTCCATCTTGAGCTTGCTGTGTAGCCCAGGCTGGCCTTGAACTCATCATCATGCCTAAGCCTCGTGAGTCCTGGGATTACAGGCACGTACCATCACATTTGGCTTTTAGTATCACTCTTCTTTTACTGTGTTCCATAACTTTGAACACTATTTAGTCAAGGACTTGAACCCAGGCTTATCTGCAAAGCTGGAGTATTTGTTACCCATCAGATCTTTAGAAGTATACTCGGTATAGAGCAAACCCTCCAGTATTTGCTGTTTGATGTTATTGTTTTTTAATCATTCTTTCTTGTGTCCCACGCTTTAGTTTCCTTTTTATTCATTCATTCTTTTTATTTTTCTTCTCTACCGCCTATTTGGACTTAGAAGACTTTGCTCTGTGTGGCTATATCTATTTCTTTTTAGGTGTTTTTTTTTTAATTAGTATATTTGCAGTTCATGATTTACAGTACATTCCTTGTGGGGAGTTGGCACATGAACCTGACACATCTTTTTTTTTTTCATCTGCTGTTCCTTTCTCCCTTCCCTCCATTTCTTGATCCCCTTCTCATTTGAGAAAGATCTCCCTATTTCCTCTTACATTTTATTTATTAATATTTTAGGTTTCTCATTTAAGAGAAATCATGATATTTAAAGTTGTGTGTCTTTAGAAAGATTTATTTCGTGTAACATTATAGCCTCAAAGTCTGTCTTTTCCTACACATAAGTTTATCCTTTTTGTGACAGAGTTATACTCCATTGTGTGTAAATATCACATTTCCTTTATCCATTTCACTGTTGATGGACACATAGGCCTCATTTAAGAGTTAGCTATTATGAATTATGCTGCTATAAACATAGATATGCTTGTGTCACTGTAATATGATGTCTTTAATTCTTTTGGGAAAATACTTAGAAGGGGCATACCTAGGTTGATAGGAGTAAATTCATCTCTTAACACATTCTCACTGGTGGTTCAGAGCCACATGGCAGTGAGACATAGGAATTACAGCCCTGTTGTTACAGTGTCAAGTGTAAGTTTGTGTGATTGGCTATCCCCCATGACTTTTCAGCTCAGAACAAACCCCTCCATATATTTTATATTTTAAGATATTGTGTGTTTTGTGATGCTTTGACATCTTTGGGGGACCTTGGTGGCTGGGAAGAAACTGTCCCTCTTAGGGCTGGCTAGTTAGTGTTTTTTTGTTTTTGTGTTTTTGGTGCTGGGATTGAAAGGGCTTTCTAATTTCTAGGGATAGTCAACAACTTGTCGGTGTAAGCCTGTCTTTCATATACAAAGCAACTAAGCCTGAGTTCGTTGTCCATCTGCCTCTCTTACCTTCCACATACCAAGCCAGTATTTTCTGGCCTGATCATCCAGGACCTGGAACCGGACAACTAGAGACTACCCCGTCTTAATCACTTGTAATTGCTGAGACACAATACCCAACATCTACATCTTAAAGGAGGAGAAGTTTATTTGGGCTCATGTTTTCATTCTGGTCCCACCACTCTGTGGAAATGGCGTGGCGCACATCATGGTTGCGGGAAGCAGAGGGAGATGGGGCGGGGGGGGGGGGGGCTGTGGCGTGTAGCCTGGGAGAGAGATACACCCTTCCAGGTCGCCGCCTCTTCCGACCAGGCCCACTGTGCCGTAGCACACTCAGTGACAGGACTCAGTAGTGATGACTCCACTGCTAAGTATAGGACTGTCATGATCCAAACACTTTCCCCATGCATGAGAGTCTTGGAGACGCCCCAGATTAAACCACAATATACCTGTATAGCCCATAGCCCACCAGTATTAGTCAAACTAGCTAATCTTGACTTTTTTTCCTACCTGCCTTGCCTTTTCTATGCAAAACATAATCTAGGTTCTTGACCATACCTTCTCTGATTTCTTCTGCCTCCTGGCCAAACCTAGTACTTCCCTGTGTGGCCTTGCATGCCTTTCTTGGAAAATATCAAGCAGTTCTTCTTTCAGTAACATAAAAAACATAAATTTCAGGGTCAACATGTTTTCAAATCCTGTCACCTAGAGAGTAAGTTAACTTCTCAGTGCTTTTGTTTCTTTATCTTATAAAATAGGAATTATTAAGCTTCTTAGGGTCAGAGAAGCCTAAGTAAGGGATCTTGGGTAATATCTGGCCTTTAATTGGACAGTTAACTAAATATCTGGTATTTAGTTTTTAGTATATACTCTCCAAGCTATACCATCTGTCAGAATTATATTATACACCCTCAGTTGACTAATGTGTGCACACGTACAAGAAAAAAGGTGGTCAGAGATTTTTCTCTTTGTTATTGTACTGAAAGGACTTACAACTTTTAAACCCATGTTCTGCAATATTTTAGGGGAGATTTTTTTTCTAACCTGTGTCCATTTTTTTCTTTCATTTTTCTTCCTTCTGTCTTTCCTTTCCCTCTTTCAGTCTGTCCTCTTCGTGGTGCTGAGGATTGAGGTCTTGTGCATGCTAAGAAAATGTTTTATTGGACTGCTTTCCTTTTGTCAGATTACATCGTTTAGTTCTGAATCATCCATCTGTCTTGATTGTGTCTATTTTATCTTTTTGCTGTTTTGTTTTTGTTTGTTTGGTATTAGGAATTGAACCAGGGCCTTTTGCACTAAGCTACATCCCCACCCCACCCCCAGCCCCACCCCCTTTAAAGATGATCATTTTGAAGCAGTCTCACTAATTTTCGCAGGCTGGGCTCAAACTTGTCATCCTCCTGCTTTAGCCTTCCAGAGTGCCAGGAGAACAAGTATGTGCCATGGGATTTTACATTTGATCTTCGTTCTTGTCTTTCTTATGCATGATCTCAATTTCAAGTTTTGTTTTCTGTTTAATACTTCACTGTTGGATTGTGTAAATTGTCCTTAGGCTTATGAAGAAATTAGTGGAATGTTATTAAAATAATCATAATTTGAAATTCTTGTTTTCATCAGTGACATTCTTACTAGATGACTTGTAAGAGAGATTTGGGAACATAAGAATGTATTTTCAAAAGTGTAAGGTAGACATGAGTATGGAGTAAATGAAACAATTTCATTGAATGACATTGGGTGGAAAGTTAATTTTCATGTTAGTACAAACCAGGTTTATGGTAGCACAGTACAGAATAGTTTTGATCTATTATCTTCCATGACTTTAAACGTGAGTAGCTGACAATAATTGTTTGCCATGATAACTCTTAAATAATGTGAGTTATCTTAAGATTTTTGAAGCAGCAGGTGAAATTAAGCTTCAATAACTGATTTTAAACTTTTTTTAGGTAAATGAATTGGTGGATGCCAGAGATGTCGGCCTTGGTGCTTGGTTTGAAGCACATATACATAGTGTTACTAGAGCTTCTGATGGACATTCACGTGGCAAAACTCCAGTGAAGAATGGCAGTTCCTATAAAAGGACTAATGGAAATGTAAATCATAATTCCAAAGAGAACACAAATAAATTGGACAGTGCCCCCGCTACATCTAATTCAGACTGTGTTCCTGCTGATGAAGACATTATTTATCATATCGAGTATGATGAGTAAGTGCTCATGCTTGAGGACTTCATGTTTTGTTTTAGAAGCACAGCCAAGCATTTCAAGATTAATTTAGTCTTTTCTGAAAAAATCAATTAAAAATCATGTTCAGTCTATTAGTTTTTATTTCTTTGTTTTGGTGAGTTATCTAATGAATGAGGATCTTTTAATTTGCAGTCATCTCCAGCTCGTAAGTGCTTTGTGTTTACCATTCCAATAGCTGGCTTAATCAGTGCTGTCCAGAGTTCTGTTTGTCTCTTTATTATATTAGGCATTTTTGATATGTAGTTTAGCAATATTTTAAAAGGATTTTATAACATAATCACCATTAGAATGAGATAAAAGTATTTGACAACTTTTTATTAAGATAATTTACATATAATTTACTATATAATATGGAGGGTACCATGAAATGTTTTTAACATATTTACGGAACTGTGTAATTCATATTTCCAGGATATGTGGAAAGGGTCAAAAGTAAATCTTCTAACATTTATTGATACTTTTTATCGTTGTGGCTAACCTACCAACATTGCTTATTTCAAAAGAGCCATCATACTGCTCTTTAATCATAGTAGATGGTAATAGAACCCACAGTGAATCTTTAAGTACAGGATTGTCCACAACTGAAACACTGGTAGATTAGGACTGGTATAGAAAACATCTGGAGTTGGTTTATTGATAATAAGAAGTCTCTGGATTTATAAATTCCATGGTATAGAGACAAGTTATTATAGTGGCAAGAGACTTCTCTGCTGTCAGCAAGTAAGTGCTTAAGTTTTTTATTGAGTTATATCTTGGTGAATTGGAGAAATAACTAGGAAAATTACTACCTGGAACCTCATTCTAGCCAATAAAAAAGTTGTTTCCTGGCACTTTAGCAGGCTGAGATACGAGGATCATGTTGGAACCCAACCTGGGCAACTTAGTGATTCAGTCCTAGTGTTGGGAGAAAAGATGGACAAAAAATACTGTGAAGAATGATAAAAAAAAAAAAAAAAGGTATATAGGGTATAAAGATGTAAATGCAGGTAAATGAAGGTTCATTAAATTTTATAGTTTTAGAGGCTCTTCAAGATAGTTTTGGAATAAGACTGTCCAAGGGATAGGTCCAGTACTTGAGTTTGGTGTAATGTTAGAGCACAAAATATTGTACCTTAATGTTTATTTGGCAGATTTTCTTAATGGGAGATTTGCCTTGATAACAAAGAATTGCAGTAAAAGAGAATATTAAATCCAGCATATATAAGAAGACTAAAATTATCTGCTCTAAATAATTTTAAATGATGAAAATAAAAGTGTTAGAACTAACCACTTAAACAGTGATAGCTGAACTGTCTTTGAGAAAAAGCAGAAGCTTAGGGGTTGATGAATTTCAGTCACATCTTTAAAAAGAGAAAATAACTATAAAATATAGTGTTAAGACATAACATTAGTCATGCTTCTTGATAAAGATCTTAGGTAATAAAAAGTCTGGTGGTGTAAGAACTTGGAAAGAATCCTTATGACCTGATATGGACGTGATAACTCCTTTTAAAGTTTTATTCATCATGGTCATTAGAAAAATGAATTTAAGAACATATTAAAATACCTCTCGATTTCAGTAAGAGATCAAACAAGTTCTTACTGGATGGAAATACATTGAAGAGACCTGGAGGAATACATGGCGTTGCAGCAGTGACAAACTGATTTAAAAACGCTTTTTTAAAAAAGAAATAGTCTTGCTGGGTTGCCCAGGTTGATTCCAAAACACACCAGTGCTCCTGTCTCTGCCCCCAGGGAGCTGGGTTTATAGGTCCTAGCACAGTACCCAGATGTAGTAAATATTTTTACTGCGTGGTAGATTCCAGTGAGTGAATGGAACGCAGCTGCCAAATACATGGTGCTGTAGTTGTATTGAATTGGCTGTTTGCTACTTGGATTATTATCCTCTAGCTTCATGCTTGAAAAACAATACCAACAGGACTTGGTACATGTTCAGAGTAGTTCTCAAAATGTACAAGTGTAAAACCATAATGGAAAATAATTGAACAACTAAATACTGAGCTTGAAAGACTTGGTTTAGATCTTGCCCTCTCTGTTTTTCTCACTCTGTGCTCATGGCTGAACTCTGGGCCTTCTCATTGAGCTAAACCCTTTGAGACAGAGTCTCAATAAGTTACTAAATTGCCCAGGCTAGGCTCAAACTTGGAATCCTCCTGCTGGGATTATAGCTGGGTGCTGCCGTGCCCAGCTAATAGCTCTCACATTGTAAAAGCTGCACAGTGGTAAGTTTTAGGATAATTTAAGTTTCTACGAGTTTAGACTCTGAAAGGTAGAGAATGGGCCACCCATGGTGGTGCATGCTTATAATCCCAGCTCTTGGGAGGTTAAGACAGGAGGATCACCACAAGTTGGAGGTCATCCTGGGCCAAATAGTGAGTTCAATGCTAGGTTGAACTACATAGGGAGAACCTGTCTCAAAACAAACAAAAAAATCAAGAAATGGTTTGCCTTAAGGAGTAGGCAATAAAGCACTGGCTACATTCTACCATACAGTGGGAGACTTAGTAGAGATGATGCATTGCTAAGAGAATTTACAAAGGTTTACGATTGTCTTAGGTGACCTTTATCTCTGGTATCATTTTTACTTTCGGGACACTGTTTCTCAAAGTCTTTTTTTTTGTACTTTCAGTAGGCTTTAAGTACTAGTCATCCTAGTCCTGTGATACTGATTAAGTAGTACCATAGTTCGCTCAATGAACTAATTTAATTTTTCTCCTACTGCAGTAAGTTGAAAGCAAACTGCTTATTGGGCAAACCTGTGCATGATCATCTTGAAACCTCTGAGTGCAGCAGTGTAGCTTGAACAAGCTGTCACTTACCAAAGGTGAGGGAAGTATGCTACCTGGGGTCCAGGAATCTGCCTATGGAATATTGAGAGGATTTTCAGTGTTTGTCAGTTTTAAATGGAGCTGTTTTTAAAAAGAGCTATTTTAATTTATTTAATTTTTTGAGTTGGGGTGTTAGTGTGTTCCAGGCTAATTTCAAGCTCCTCTTTGGCTTGTGATCCTCCCACCTCAATCTCCTGAGTGCCTGGGTTATAGGCTCACACTGCCATGCCAGGTCAAAAACTATTTTCATTAAAAAATCTAATGTATTACCAGACTAGATCAATTCTCAGTCTTGAAATCCACTTCATTAAAATGAAACTGCTTATAGAATTGGATCAAGATAAATAGGTATTCTGTTGCATCTTTATTTCCTACTCAGCAGAGTTAAGAACAGTTAAGTCTATGAGGAGTGATACAATGCAAACTTCCTGTGTTTTATTAGGTAGAGGAGTTTCAACAAACAAAGACCCCTTAAGATGTATTTATAAACTATATAAATGAGATTATTTCCTATCTATATTTTTCTTCTTGGATTCATAGGTACAAACTATAAGTTCATTAAAAGTAAGTTATGGTAGGAGATGTTAGATGTTAAGGTTTGAGGGTTTTTTTTGAGACGGGGGGTCTCACTGTGTAGTCCAGGCTGGCCTTGAACTCACGGTGATCCTCCTGCCTCAGCCTCCTGAGTTTTGTGTTTACTGGCTTATGCAATCATACCCAGCTAAAATTTGAGGGTTTTGTTTTTATTAAATGTTTCTTTTCTGTATATTCCTTGATGAACATAGGCTGAATCATTGAAGCTTTCTTATGAAGACTAGTTTGTCAATCTTAAGGCCTAGATTAGGCTGCCAACTCTCATTCAGGTCGTACTGCAGGTAATATAAAGTAAATATAGGAGCTAACATCAAAGTGCTTGGTAAAAAGTTGGTATTTGTGATTTTCTTCTTGACCGCTGTTACATCTATTATCAGTCTTTTTAGTGCTCAGCCAACCTGGTTAGTAGTACTTCAAGGGAAAATTGGCCATAGGAATAGTATTAAACTTAGGCTCTAGACATCTAGATTCCAAGGAATCTTTTGTTTTTTTGGTACTGGGAATCAAATTCAGGACCTTGTACTTGACAGGCAGGCGCTGTGCCGCTGAGCTATATCCCTGGCCCTCCAAGGAATTCTTGAGAGTGTACATGTGTATGTTCTGTGCAGTACTAGAGAATGAACCTGGGACACCCTACCACTGAGCTATACCCCCTACCCTCCTGCTCCCAGTTTTTGAGACAGTCTTGGTAAGTTGTCCAGGTTAGTCTCAAATTTGCGATCCTCCTTCCTCAACCTCCTAAGTAGCTGGAATTTTAAGCTTGTACTACTGTGTTCATTTTTAAATCATCTTTTTGTTTAATTCTTATTTTTAATAAATACATACTTGCAGTATATGATTACATTCACTGTGGCTAGATGCTACATGTACATAGTACATCTTAATTCTTCTTTCTTTTTCTCTCTTCCCCTCTCCCTCCATCTCTTGGTTCCCTTCCCATTTGCAAAAGATCTGTGTCCCTATTTCCTATTATTTATCTTTATCTTGCTCTTTATATATACATGATGTTAAAGCCCGTGTGTCTGGGGCTGGGGATTTAGCTCAGCGGCAAAAGCGCCTGCCTGGCAAGTGCAAGGTCGTGAGTTTGGTTCCTGGTACTGGAGAAAAACCAAAAAAAAAAAAGCCCATGTGTCTGATTTCATTTAATATTATGGTCTCAAAGTGCATCCATTTTCCTACAAATGACTCAGATTTATCCTTCATTCTAGCAGAGTAGTATTTCATGGTGTATAAATACCACATTTTCTTTGTCCATTCATCTGTTCATGGACATGTAGGCTGCTTCCAAGATTTAGCCATTATGAATTGTGCTGCTATTAAGTCCTTTTCATAAGCACACTTTTTGGGGCAGACATAACTTGTCTAAGGAGTGCTACCTCCTTCCCCAGCCCACCAAAGCTTAGATTGCCAGAAGGAATCTGTGCCTGAAAGAAAACGCCTTTAGGGCAGTTTTGTAAAGGTAACAAAAGTGAGGAGTAATAAAAAAGAGGCAAACGACAGTAGTACAGGCAATTGTAAAGCCATTGGGTGGTCAATAA